AAAATATTTGTCAGACAATTCTAACGTCTCTGTCATCTAGCTCTCTGTCAGTTCCCATTGTTTCTTTTTCCATTCAAATTAAGAACCTCATCCTTATTGGGATGATGAGTAATTTAAATTGACACATGAACATTTGGGTGTTATGTTATAAAAATCTAGATCTTTCATAAGCCTTCTATTTTAGCTGATTTCCTCTGATACCTCTTTGGCAGGGGGAGGAGGCGGGACACTGACTCACTACTGCCTAGAAGTCTGATGTTCCCACTCAGACTACTGGAACCCAAGGGACCCGGCCTTCGCATTAGGGCTGGGAAACTGCAGAGGGTCCTGCTCTTTACTCAGCCTTCACTGTTACCTCCATGGCTACGAGGGGTAGAAGTGACTTGTTTCTGCTTTCAGGTGGCTTCAACAGACACGACAAGGGCAGGGGATTGGTGTCATTACTGGGGGGCATTGGTGAAAGTTCTCATTCTCCACTAGATCTCCTCTGACACCTCCCCGGGTGGGAAGGGAAGGGTGCGTCCTTAGTACTGAGTGAGGCTAGATGTCACAATTCCCTAAGTGGTCTCTACTGCCACTAGGGAGGAGGGCCTTCTCCCTCCTGGCAGAAAAGAAAGTCCAAGCTCCCTACCTGACTTCTCATACACCACAGCCTGGCCAGGAGGAAGGTGTTGGCTTTCCGCTGTTTGCTGATATGGCTGGCGAGTGGGGTTACACTTTTTTTTTCCAAGGTATTCACTGAAGGAGACCTGTTATTGTCCTAAATGTTTTTTTTGGTTTTTTGGGTTTTTTTGTCTCATTAGGCTATCCCCTTCCTGGTTCTGTGGCTGGAGAAAGAAGGCAGTTTTTGTCTGTGTTCATTGGCATTTCTGGGTTGTGGGCTTCTTTACTCCAAGCCTGGTATATATGAAATAAAAGAAAAATATCGAGTAGGCATTCCCATGTCCTTCCTTGCATCCCAAGATTCCCAGCCACCCTACCTTCTTTCTACCTTTGAGATTCGTCCTATGTTTATTTCATACACAACACCCAGAGATTTCAGTTGCATGTAGGAGGGTAGTTACAGAAAAGTATATCACAACTTCCTGGAAAAAGAAGTCCAAATGATAGTATTTTAAATACTAAGGTTGTTACACTTTCAATTTCTACAATTAAATTTTTTTAAATACCAAAAAGCATTGATTTCCTCTTATCTATTAGCTTCTAAGTGAATTTCTGGGATGTACCATCATAATTTGGTTTGCAGGTAAAAAAAATGTTTAATCTGATTTACTTATAGAGAGAAAATATTTTCTCTCAGCCAATAATGATATCAAGATAATATGTAATTCTCTGTAAGGTGGATTAGAAGTGAACAAATCATATTAGACGCATCAGGGTGAAAAGATGAATGAACATAAACAGATTTAGGCTTAGCTCAGCTTTGAATGCCAAAGACTAAAACAACTGGAATGTTTTGGGCTTTTGTAAGAGGGTAACATAATTGTATGTTTGTCTAGTATATCACTGGTACCTGTCATTATTCTTCTAGCCATATTTTAAAATATAATATAATTATATTTGAATTCCACATACTCAGATTTACTATGACCACACAGGTCACTGTCTGCTGCTTTGGGCATTGCCACCCCCTTCACATGGCCCAAACTCCTCTGAAATGGGGTCACTTGCTCCTCCCTGAATATAATTTACATCTTCCAAGAGCTTTTCCAAGTTCTGCTTGGAAGATGTCTTCTCCTTTTCCCTCATTTATTCCACTCAAAGCTCTTCCATCTCTAGAAGACTGTCTCCAAAATGCCAACATACACATACCCTGATAATGAATTGTCAGCTCCTGGAGGAGACAACCCTGTAAAATTGCAAGGCTGACCATGGAGAGAAAGGAGGAGGTGTGGGGCATTCACATGCTTGGTTGGCAGAATGGGTTAATGGGTTAAAAAAACAGAGGAGCAAAACCACCTGATATATTTCAGCAAAGTACCAACAGCTTACTAACTGGCATTAACTTTGAGACTAGGAGTGGTAGAAAATGAGGTTAGAAAGGGAGCTAATTATCACATTAGGAAGGATTTGTATTCCATGAAAAATATTTTTTTTCAGTAATCACTTAGTAGACATGCAGTTTGTTTTTGTTTGTCACTTAGGAGACATTCAATTTCCTTCCTTTCTTCTGACACTTATCTTAATTTACTTCAAATTACTATTACATTTATATCCTCACTACAAGATTGCAAATTCCTTTAGGATAGGATTGTATCTAACCAGGGGCAATTTGTTCCCCTTAAGGAACATGTGACAGTGTCTGCTGACATTTTTGATTGTCCCAAATGTCAACTGTCTTGATGGTAGGATATTGCTAGTCAACTATCCTATAATGCACAACAGGCCTCACAAAAAAGGTTGCTCGAGCCACGATGCCCTTGATGCTGAGGTTGGAAACCCTGGCTTAGTTCATCTGTGGAGCCCAGGTAGCAATTAGCAGAGTAGCACATTACAGGTGACAATCAGAGCTGTCGGAAGTTATTTTAAACCCCTTTTCTGTGAGCAAGTTTTATAAATTGCTATAGGATTAAAAATTAAATTAGAAAAAATCAAAATAATCCCTAGTATCCATAGGGATAAAATTAAATGTATATGGTATAAGAAAATTAGAAGTAATAGAGTTTATAAATCTCAATTAATTTGAGGAAACAAATTTTCATTTGTATTTAAGAGCTATAGTTCTCTTAATCAGCATGCTTTTGTAATGAAATGCAGCATGATTTACTTTTATATCAAAGGACCTCCCCTGGTAGTTAAAGAACGCAACCCAACACAATTAAAAGATCACTGGTAAGCAGAATACAGTGCCTTCTCTGCATTCTGGGAGAGTAATACAGTTAATAATCTAGGATCTAGTGGCACCTTAATGAACAATGTAAACTTATTGGCCCTGAATCTCAGAATTTATCAGTGGTGTTTACCTACATTTTTATTCCCAAAATAATGAAATGATGAGTAACAATCAAAAGAAAAGTTTGTGATTTTATTTAAAAATATATTGCTTATGGAGAATTCAAGTAACAAGTATTTAAAACTGAAAAGAAGAGATAAATTATGGATAAATCTGTAGCATTTAGCTGTGGATAGTAAGAACTTCTTGTGGAAGAAGGAGAAGAACTACAGATATGTCCAGAGCTTGCAATGAGACCCATTCCCTCTTTACCTAGCTGCAGTCATATCCAAGTATCAGTGACAGAGTGTCCATGGGACTGGGTCACTCAAGGATTAGAGCATGTTTATGGGTCCTGGTGGATGAAGGACGAAGAGTTAATATAACCTGTTTTTTTTCAGTACCCATAAAAAAATGCTCAAATCACCATGTGATTTTGTTTAGCCAAATCAAAATCTGTCTTAAAACCAAATGGGAGACACTGGTTTTTAATAGTACCCTGTACTCGAAAAGTAAGTCCAATAAAACAATGATTCTGATAATTCCATTATATAAGAAAATAGTTCTTACTATCACTATTTGATTGCCAATAGCAACATATAATTCAAAGAGAAAAATGATGATTTGATTATTTTTGAAGATTTTTTTATGAAGAAAACTAACTCTGCTAATGTAACATCAGAAGTACCCTTATTTAATGGTCTATAGTGTGTAGCTAGTTTGGATACCACATTTGGGGGTTGGAGGGCAGGGTACACATTCCCTCTCATCCAGGGTCTGGAAACAAAAGCCCTTGAGGAATATGTGGTATATTCCTCACCCACCCACTTCTCTCCCACCCACTCCTCCCCTGAGTGCAGTCAGTGTTTCTGGGCCAGGATAGCTGCTGCTTCTTCCCCTGCCCACTCTTTGGAAGGGAACATGCTTTCTTATTAGACATTTTCTGAAGTTTCTTTTAACAGGGCCCCCCTTTGTCTCCAAATAAGTCTGTGCTCGTTCAATAGCTATCAGTGTCCCCTCTGACTTAAAATGTTCCACTCATATCTTCCAGAAGGATCACTGTCAGCTAATAAAAAAACTTCATTAGGCTTATCACTATGTCCCAGTTTTTTAGCTTCCTGATGGAAGACAGCAGCCTTTCCTCACAGTCTTTTCCCCACAGCAGATGCTGCATAGAGGATCAGTGCCCAGCCAGATCGATGCCTTGTCATTAATCTCCATCACTCTTCCAAGAACGTACTTTTAAAGATTCCCCCAAACTGGATTATTTTGAGTAATAGTTTTTCTACTTATCAGGAAATTATATTAGTTTGCTTTTGCCCGCCAGTGTTCATAATTTGACTAAATAAATATTATGCTGATATGAGTAGATACAAAACCAATTAATCTAAGGAAATAGATGATAGTTGTCAAAGGACTTTGGTGTGCTCCTTTATGGGCAACAGGAAGTGAAGACTTGCCTGACCATAGGGACCTCTTTGTAGTATGTTTCAGAAAGGACAACATGACGTGTGTAATCCTGAATCCAATGCTCTGGGATATCCATTACATCCAGCCATCCGCCTCATGGTTTCTCTGTAACATATCATCCTAATTACACTTGGTATGCCCGGTTGCTGTGTCAGGTCTAAATAACATTTTACTAACAAAGTGTTCATGCAACACACCATGGGATCTCCTTGATATTTCCCCCTGAAAACTATTTTTATGATAGTCAGTGACTAAAGTAAGTAAATTAGAAGTTGATTGGCACAAATGCAAATGGTAATGTATTAATGAAAGGCCATAATTCTTTTTTTCTCTTCCTGCACTTACAATAACTTGTTTTAGATTGCCTGGCAATTAACAAATCTTACGCATAATTGCAGGTCAGAGGACAATATTTACTTTTAAGGCAGACAAACATCACTTGAGTCAAGAATCCACGCTGGAATGAGACCCAGTCTGACGAACCATTTTGGAACACTAAATCTAATCGTGAACTGCCGGCCCTTGAAAAGTCATTCCCCAGCCAGATCCAGCTCTGCTGTCTTTGCCTCGTGTCTAAAGCATCTTTGTTTTGTTTCAGCTGGCAGGGTTCATCTACGCCTGTTATGTTGTGAAATGTATAACTGAAGAAGAGGACAGCTGTAAGTATTAAAGCTCTATTCTGTCTTTTTCAAGTTCAAAGCATCGTCTTGACTACCTCCTCCCTAGCCTTACCAGTTCTCAGGCAGTATACCCCAGCACATCATTAGAATGGGCAATAAGCTTTGTGTATCCATGGGGATAAAGTGTTTTCATAAAAATATGCAGGACATTGAAAAATCGAGGAAGGATTTATTTTGAAAACACATTTTTTTCTTGGAAGGTACTTTTAAAATCTATTTCTCATATAACAATTCAAATAGGGAATATAGAGAGGAAACTAGAGAGGAAATTATTTTTAAATGTGGTTAACTTGACCATTCTTTTTGTATGAACCATTTATTAGGTGTTGATAACTAATAACTAATCAGGTTGACCCACGACTACAAACCTTAACGATCAACAATTTGCAATAGCTCTTAAAACTCTCACAAGAACTGGCTTCAGATTAATTCAAGAAATTTGTCTCCAGGAAATCAAATTTTTATATTTCCTCTTTGCCCCTATACTTTGATACAAATGGCAAGAACTCTCTGCCTGAGTCTCGGTATTAAGTTCTCTTGCTTGATCCAGAGTTGAGACAATGTTCCCTTCCTACAAGCCTCTGAGTGGCTTCACCATCCTCTGCTCTTCTGAAAATGTAAAAATGGCAGGTAAAAGGTTTCACTCTTTCTTTGCCTCCTCAGGTCCTGAAAATAGGAGGATAGGAAAAAGTACTTCCAGCCTGTCTGAGTACCATCATGGATATTTGCCCAGGCAGCTATATTTACTCTGAGGAAAAATCAAAAACGGGAATCATTCTTTTTTGGTTTCCAAAAATAGTAATGACTGGGGTTTTGAGACAGAGGCAAAAAGTGATGAAATTCACTGCTCTGTTACAGGATGCTTTGAGGAAAAAACTGGAGAGAAATGTGTGTTTCTTCTTTGCTTTCCAATCATATTAGACAGGAAGAAGCAGTATCAGGTGGCTAATTTAGAGGAGCCACTTTTCAGTCATACTAATATGTGACATAAAAGCAGAAACACACAGTGCATAGTTTGTATTATTTTGTGTGTGAAAGGAAATGATGCTCCTTTTACTGAAAAAGCATTTGTAAAATGCTTTTCAATGGATCAAGTTCTCTCTCAGGCTTTGGAGATTTTAAGATTAGTAACACACAATCTTCTACCTCTAGGAAGGCACCATCTTTCAGGAAAAAGCAAACATGTGGATAAAGTATAATAAAACGCTCTAGAGTGTATTGTGGGGCGAAGATAGGAAAGGGGCCAGGAAATACTTCATAGACAAGGGTATTCTTGAGCTTGGTCTTGAAAGATGAGTGAAGGACAGATGATTAGGGTGTCAATGTGGGAGTAAGGTGGTTGCTGGTAAAAAGTGGGGAAGTGCCAAGACATAGCGCCACTGGTCGTGTTGGGAGCAGAGAAGCCAGATTAATATAACAGGCTTGTATCCAGTGCTGGAGATGGGCATTCAGAGAAAATTAGAAAAGAGGGCATAGACGGGATGGTAGAAAAATGGTGTGACAGAGTAAGGAATTAGGGCTTTATTTTACAAAGCATGATGGTGAATCAATTGGCAGGTAGTTTATAAGAACAGAATAATATCATAACAGTGGGCTTTAGAAAAGTCACAGTGGTATCAGTGTGAAGGAAAGCCTATGAGAACAATGGGGCAGGTCAGGGAAAGGGAGGCTGCTAGACTCTATAAGGATGGCTGAGATCCAGGATGATGAGGGTCTGGACTGGGATCTATATTGTAGATGAAGAGGATAGATATCACATGAGACATGCTAAAACAAAGTGATTAATTGTCAGTGGATGGTGCTGTGTAAGGGACAATGAAGTAACTGATAGGTTCCTGGGTTTCTGGCATAAGTGGATGGGTATATGGAAATGTTAGTTGAAAACAGAATGGGAATGTGAAAATTGGTTCAACTTGAACAGGTTAAGGTTAAAGTGCCTGATGAATATACAAGAGAAGACATCTAGTAAGCACTCGTCTTATGCACAAAGGATGTATTCAAATTAGGAATAGATTTATGGACCCCATGAACTTTGTACAGACTCCACGAACTTCGGAGGTGCATTCAGATGTTACTATTCAGTGTTTTTGTGCCACATCTTTGATGAAGGGAAAATTTACAGGTTAAATGTCATGTCAGAGTTGAGTTCCTTGGACTACAATGATTGATTGTATTTCACAATGATGCTGGTGCATTTTCATCTTCAGAAAATACTGACATACCAAGGCACCTACACAGATCATCAGTATCTATCTAGAATAGTACCTCCCAGAGGGGAATCCCAAAATGCTGGTTCCATAAGATATGCTGCTCAGAAAAGATCCCTTAGCCAAATAAGTTGGACATTGAAAATTTAAAGTGCACATTTCCATATTAATGTCTTTGTGACTACTGCAATAAAGAAGTATATTCGATTTTTCTTAATCCACAGCTTTATTTTAACCATGTTATAGTGGATGAGGTGCAGTGAGGCCAAATGCAGATAAAAAACAAAAAGCACCAACAGTTTCCCAATTTCATTATACTCGTAGTGCCCTGGGCACACAAATAGCACCGGGGCAGGTCACAAGGCAGAGAAAGAACACAGAAACCAGTAGGCAAGCAATCACCTTTATTGTTGTTTCCTTGCATCTAAAGAAATGGGTGAGGCTGGCTGAGCAGGTTCAGTATCAGCTAGCTAAGCTGGAAAGTGGAACTCTTATTCACGGTGACTATCAGAGGATGTAGTTTGGGGCTATCTAAAGTTGCCAGATGGTTTTCGGTGAGCTAGGGCTTACTTAGGGTCAGCTGGTCATTTTGTAGATGTTAAGCCATCAATTTTTAAAAAATTAAAAGTATAGTACTATCCCAAACATCTGAATACAAAATGCTTTTTTCATAAGAAATATTAATATTCCAGAGAATAGAATTCCAGAAAACTCATGTTAAGGAATTCTGTCCTATCAAGTTTTGGCCAAAGCCAAATATCTTTTGGAAAATCAGGTTTATCTTTAAAGCATCTAACAAATTATTTTCCAAAACACTGTCTAAAGCAATGTCTATGTCTTTATATGTATTTTGATCATAATACCTTATCTGCCTTTATTAATCCAACTTCTCATAGGCAAGTTTATCATTTCTTCCAGTGGGCAAGATATGAACGACTGTTTTATGTTTATATCCAAGTAGATTGAGGCTTACCTTAGAGTTTCACAGGACTAAGCAGGAGATGCTTGTTTGGGCCAGTTCTCTGTCCATTCAGGTGCATTGACTTGTGGTCATTCACACATAGACAATTTTAAGTGTTGAATGCAATATTTGCTGTTGACATTCCCTGTGTATTACCAGAGTCTTGGCCATTTGTCTGTATTTCGTCTCCAGGCACTGCCTAGAGCACGTGATTTCCAATGCTCAGGGGTAAAGAAGGTTTGAAGGTTTTGTCTAATTTTTGGCATTTGGGTCACAAAGGTAATTATTTTGATCCTTTAAAAGTGTTCTGGCTAGATGAAAGTCTCGGGCGCATGCACGCATGCTCTCAGAAAGTAAGCCTGGATGTATGGGCAAAGTTTAATGTCTATGTAAACAGAGAAGGAAGAATCTCTGTCTGCTCTTAACTGTTGTGGATTTGTGATGAGATATCTGGATAGGAGTGTCGTGAAGGAGGAGGTGATAGCTACCTGCCTGACAAATTAGTTAAGTTTCTATCCCTAAGAGCCTCCTGAGGAACAGAGGGCAGTTTGGGCTCTAGAACTGTGCTGAGATAATAGCCCAATTACGGCAACTGGGAGATTAAAGTATTCTTGGTGTAAATACGAAGCTGACCAGCCATGTGCTCAGTTTTGCCACGGCAGACCTCTGCAATGAGTGTAGCCAGGGAGCCTCAGAAGCGGAGACCCCTGGGAGCTATGGAGAGAGGGTTCAGGCTCCAGGAGCAAAGACTCACACTTAAACACCATAAAATAGCAGCAAATCATCATCGAACTACAGGGCCTTAGACAGCAGGCACATCGAATGCTTGAAAATTGTGTTCCTTATTTCTCCTTTTAAACAGTATCTCATTTGCTTTCTAGACCCCAGTTCGATTAATATTTATATGGACATTTTAATGCAAAGTTGTTGATTTTTCCTACGAAAAACCCTGGCCCTTGAAGTTCACATCTCTGACTCTTTCATTATCTGAGCTAGAGCCACAGCGTGACAGGCTGGCTGTACAAACTCACAGGACACCACTGCCATCTGCTGTGCTTCCCAGGAGGTAACAGCCACCCTGTGAGCATATGCGGCAAACAGGAGGATGGGACACTCCTACCCCCACGTATTAGTTACCTGGGGTATAAAAGCAAAATATAAAAACTGAGTGGCTTAAACAATAGAAATTTATTTTTGCGTAGTTTATAAGGCTAGAGGTCCAAGATCAAGGGGGCTGGCAAATTTGGTTTCTCCTGAAGCTTCTTTCCTTGGCTGACAGACTAACTTCTTGATTTGTCCTCAGATTGACTTTCTTCTCTGTTTGTACATGACCTTAATGTCTCTTTTTCTTCTTATAAGGACACCAGACCTATTGAACGTGGGCCTGACCCTTATGGCTTCATTTAATCTTATTTACCTTTTTAAAGGCTTCATCTCCAAACACAATAATGCAGGAGGTTAGGATTTCAATGTATACATTTGGAGGGAACACAATTGGAACACATTTGGAACACAATTCAGTCATAACATCCCATATCCGAACACATACATGCACACACACACGGCTCCTGGGTATTTGAAAATACCTGTGGGGCACACAGTGGAGCTAGCTTGGCTCACTGGCCCACCAACCACCTGTGGGTAGGAGGGTCCAGGCTACAATGCTACCAGCCTCCTGGGCTCCACGCTCTCTGCCTCCAGGCGGGAGCATACTGTCAGCATCTTCTGCTGTGGGTCAGAGTGATTTGCCTTCAGATGGGTAGCTCCTCACCAGAAAACAGCTGGGACCCTGCTCCAGAGGGTGGGCCTTG